GGCCTCAGTTTCCCTTGGCTTCATGTGTCTAGGGTCCAGGTCTGGGCAGCCCAGCCCGACATGGCCCTGATCTCGGCCGGTTACTGCTCCTCCGGGTGCAGCCCGGCACAGACGTGAGGTGGTCACGGGCGTCAGGGCCAGGGCGCCTCAGACCCCTCGGGGCAGGGTCCATCGCCCCCCCAGCTCAGTCTGTTCCCTTCGTGTTCCCAGCCAGGGGCCGTCTCCCCCTCCCTCCCTGTCTCCCCCCTGGGAGGAGCCTTGTTCTCTGCCCAGGCTGGGCCCAGGGGTCTGGGCCAGTCCACGCGTGGGGAGTCAGTGGGAATTGCCCAGCCCAGCGCAGGGGGGACCCCGGGTCACCCCCACTACGGCACACTGGTCCCTACCGTCACAGCTAGGGAGCAGCACCGCGTCCCCGGCTAGACCTTCCAGCTCCGCGAGGCCTTTGCCTTGCACACGGCTGCTGTGAGCGAGACGAGTGAGTCGGGACCCTTGGGGGCAGGGGACCGCCAGTCCAGGGGACGGCGTCTTGGCCAGCGTGCCAAGTTCTCATTCAGAGCCTTTTTCCAGCCGAAGAGCGAGAGTCCGTGTGATGGTGCCATCGGCCGGCGGGGCCACCCGCGTGTCTCTTGGCCCTAGGGAGCGGCTTTGCGCCTGCACGTCACAGCGATGTTACAGATCCCACAAGGGGCCGTACAAGCGCCGGACACACGATTTATCGGGATCATAATGTTCAGCACATTATGAGTTTTGGAGTGACGTGCGGTTTGACTGCAGTTGAGCGCGGGGGTCTCGGAAAGGCGGGGGACTTGGAGTCCAGTTGCTGCCGGCTGGCAGGGGGGCGGTTTGGGCGACAGGTGAATGGGAGCAGGGTGTAGTAGTTAGAATAGGAGGGACAAGCGCCGGACACACGATTTATCGGGATCATAATGTTCAGCACATTATGAGTTTTGGAGTGACGTGCGGTTTGACTGCAGTTGAGCGCGGGGGTCTCGGAAAGGCGGGGGACTTGGAGTCCAGTTGCTGCCGGCTGGCAGGGGGGCGGTTTGGGCGACAGGTGAATGGGAGCAGGGTGTAGTAGTTAGAATAGGAGGGAGCCCCACCATGGCTCCTAGGCGCTCTCCCTAGTTCTCTGGGGACAGTGGTGAAGTTCCTCCTTTCCTTGCTGACCTGTTCTGTTTCTCAGCTGCCTGCATGTCACCGCCGGCGAGTCCCCGCCGCGCAGTGTTGTGTGCGGCGTTTTCCCGGCTGCCC